TGCATTCTTTGTATTTTTATATTATCGTTTTTAGTTGACGGTGCTTACTCACAAGTGCAATTTCAGAATTGTCATGAATGTCCTTGCAGAAGTTTTTGGTGTTACTCTTTGTATACTGCAGTACATCGGGTATTTATTGAACTCGAGAAAAGTGAGTCTATTCTTTTTTAACTGAAATTTATAAACATACATATAAATATCTATGATACTGGTGATAGAGCTTTGCTTTAAAAAATATAACATTATATAAATTGAGTAACATTTATAGCAATTGAGTAGCTTACTTATAGTATTAATTAAATTTATAATCAATCACGATTAACTTAGCTAATTTTAATGGCGATCGCACGGGTGACACAAAAATATTTTGTTTTTTGCTTAGATTAAGCTATTTAAGCGTAATGTTAGCGAAAGAAATTTTGTTTGCAATTTACAGACGAATCTGCTGCTAAATCAGATTTGCGAAGATTGGAATGTACTAAAAGATTCGAAGGAAGTTGAAATAGCAAAAAAATATGGAAAATCCATGAGACTATTTACTATAATTTTACTTAGTAAGAAATCCTTCAAAACCTCCCTTCATGCGGACAAATGAATCATATACACAAACGTATTATTTAACAAATTTACTTCATATAAATGTTTTTTTTTTTTTTTGCAAATTCAGGTATTTTTCAGTGTACACTGTTTTGAGCTGGATTATTCTGGCACTAGTGCTTCTTATTCCAAACATCTTTAATAACTTTTCAACGTCAAGTGAATTTTTGAAACAAGATGATGTTTCAAGGAAACAAATCGATAAAGACATATATTTTCTCATTTATTATCTTACAGTCATCTTTGTGGATTTGTTTGTATTAACATCCTCTACAACAATGGTTTTGGCATACCTGCAACACATATGTATGATGCTAACAATTACTTGGTAGGAGTCTTCAATGCTTGTATCGAATGTTTGTCAGAATTTCTTCTGAAAATGACGCAAAATACGTGTTTTGTATAGCTACCGTATCGAGCATTCTTTGGATGAGAACGGTTTACACATGTCGATTTTTCGAAAAGAACGTCTGATGTATCAAAAGTTAATTAGTGCCGTCAATATTCATCGAAGAGCTATAAAGTTAGTATCAGTTTAGAATAACCATTCCTCTCGCAAGTATGTACATGGTTTAATGCTCTCCAAATTTTGAGCTTAAATTTATTATATAAGAATATTAATTATGTTTATACCATATAAGGTTTAAAGTTTTTTTTATTAAATATTTTGTTCGATTATTATTTGTTTTAATAATTTTTCTATATTTTTTAATTAATTGTTATAGATTTAATATTTACTTTAAAATAATTAATAATAAGAATGAGAGATACAGAAACATTATTGTTTAATTGTTTGACTTAAAACGTACAACGGATCCAATAATAAAAAAGATATCGAATTTTTTTATTATTTTGAAGGTTTTCTGAATATTTCTTGTCTAGCTTCAAACAGAGCTATTTCTTTTTGATTGGAATAAGTGTATTATCATTGGCTATTAATTTATTACTTGTGAGTAATATTTATAATTACATTTTGCTAGATTGATTATAATACAGATTATTCCGATTTTGTAACTTTTGTGTGTTTTTACGTTTTTCGTTGATTTCAGACACTGCAAGCTTTATTAATTCAGAACATGAGTGAGCTGATATTGTCTATATTTTATATAGTTCCTCATTTTATTTACTCTTTCGTAAATCATTATGGCGGGCAGATGGTTACAGATCATAGCGCAAACATATTAACAGCATTGTAAATATGCAGGAATTGCGAACTTTTGTAATCAACATTCTACAATTAATTGGCAAAAAGGAATTTAACAATAAAGTTATTTTCACAATTTAATCATACCGATAATAAATAGCTCATATCACAAATATATATTTTTAGATACAACATAAAATGGTACACAGCACCCATCCGGGTGCAAAAATTAATTCTTTTTCTGATGCTAAAAAACACGAAGAATTTCGGTTTTGTCATTGGAGGAATATACGTTGCTTCGATGGAAAATTATCTTACGGTGAGATAACTTATAATCAATGAGAGAGAGAGAGAGAGAGAGAGAGAGAGAGAGAAGCAAGCATTTAGATAATTACGCCAAAATAACCGCGCGCACTGCACATTTTATTATTACTGATTTCTTTATAATATCGTGTTATTTCTTACAAAGCTAGATTTAATTATAAAATAAGTAATACAATAAGCACGATAAAAGAGAAAAATACAATTTTAGTTTACAAGTACGTCACTATCTTACTTCATGGTAATCTACTCTACGCAACAGTAAAGATACAATCTGATAAAAAGGAATTGTTAGGAAATTAATTATTAATGTTTCTATCAATAATCAGCATATGATATAAGCAAGTATGTATCTTTGTACAGAGTGCATAAAAAATATTTTTATTGAACGTGATAAATCACAAGATAAATCGCAGCATTACGAAAAAAAAAAATGTCACGACAAAAACACCGCATAAGGTAAAAAATATCAGAGACAATAAAATTATATACGATGGTTTATTTATTATATTATAATAGAAATAGTTAATAATATTTCACGAAATATTACCAAGACAATCGATTGTCATCCCTTACATTTGTTCGTGTGTCTTTGCGCCTGTCGTTTTCGAAGAATGCGTTACTTTGCACAATTACGGGAATTCTTATACTATTAAATGAAAGTACAATGTTTTTGGCGACTTTTAAATAATAATAGAAACGAAAGGAATTGCGGTCGAAAAATTCTCACAATTTCACTCAGGCCTGCTAAAAGTTGCAGTAATATTACACACAATTACGCAATTGTCCAACGTATTAGGAACAATTATATTTGTTCTTTAAATTATATCATTTATTCGCTTTTGAGAATATATATTCGTCTCTTTTTACGTGAAATGTAAGAGGAAGAGAATTGAAATACGTAATACGACATCACGGAAAGGAAAAAATAATGATCCTCACATTGATCTTGCTCTCAGTTGAGTTTCGGTACTGTTCGCATAAAAGAATATCAAAAGAGTAACGTCTAATTGAAATGACAATGAGACAATATGTTATTAAAATTGCATAAAGTGAATAAAAAATGGTATGTATTTTATGATGAATCATATACACATATCTATTTCTTAATCTGCACTTTCCTTATTTTCGCAAGAGCTTCCTTTGATTATTACATCAGATCTGATTCTTTTGACTTGAATTAACAAATATTATATCTAGCAAAATATTTCTGTAATATGTGATACTACTACAACATCGGCTTAGATCGCAGTGAAGCGACCTAAGCTATCCGCGAAAATTCTCGTCTTTCTATATCGATGTTTATGTTGAAACATTATGATAATTCACTAAATTGCCAAATTTGATAATATTATTTTTACAGTATTATCTTTGATAGTATTCTTTTCATTTTACGATTGAGAAAGATAGAAATTGAGGAAAATATTCTTTATTCACTTACTTTCCCCTTCATAAATTTCTCACATCTGCTGTTTATTCCACGGTTGTTACCCCAAACATTATGCTATGGATTTCGGAAAAAGAATGTCTCTATGCTTGTGATGCGTGGTGGGGGGAGCACAACTCTGCACCGTCAGTCCTCACATTCGCATTTCAACCTTCGCCAAAGATGGACTTTATTGGGGAACGATACTATAAGTTAAATAAAATTCTTTTGCTATGTCTCGGTCTGTGGCCTTATCAAAATTCACGTTTGAAGATAATTCAAGCAATTTTTTATCAAACATTATTCATATCCTTCTTATTATGTCAGGTATTATTCAGCGTTTTATGTCACGCATATTTTACTTATGTAAATAAAAATTTGTGATTTTCGATGGAAGATTAACAATTATTTACAGTATGTAATGAATGATAATATATGTTTTACATAAATTAATATTTGTTTATATCTTTTTTATGCTATAATCGTTCAGTGAGATTATTGTTTTCAGGTTAATGCGTTTCTCACAAAAAAGTACAGCATTAATCTTGTTGTTAAAATGTGTACGTTTATCATTATCAACTGTATTTTTATTATAAAATACAACGCATGGATATTACTTACCAATAATGTAAGTATTTATTCATTTTTATATGCACCTGAAATTTTTTCTTTAGTAATATTTTTTCCGCTGCTTCTGATTCAAAAATACCACTAATATTACGAATAAATTTTTAAAGTGCGCGATATATTAAAAATTAATAATATTAGACAAATAAAAAATAATCATAGTGCACGATACTATAAAGAACTTGCAGAATAGAATACCTGCTTATTTGTGATCGTAGATCAAATATATCTTCAACATAATTCAATATGATTGGAACATAATAAAGGCTGAAGAGGAATTGAAAATAATACGTGGATACGCAAATAACGCACGATTTTATACGATCTATTTTTTGTGTAAGAAATAAAATCTTAAACGTACACTTTTCTAATCTTTTTTGAAATTAATTAAAATTAAAATTAAATTAATTAAAATTAAGTAAAATTCTGATAAAACTCGAAATAATGATATTTTTCGAACTTCATCAAGTAATTTCTATACAAATAATTTCAGTGTTGGTTACTATTGGTCTACTGGGACTTTTTACATTATATACTCTAACATATATATATGATATAATCGTACCTAGGAATGAATCACGACCGCTACAACTACCAATTATAGTGAACTGTTTCATTGATGAAGAGACATATTTTTTTGCTATTTTAGTACATACTATCATAACCAATTATGCTGGTGGTATCACAATAACGGCTGTTGGAACGATGCTTATAGCATATGTACAGCACAATTGTGCCATGTTTAAAATCGCCAGGTAAAGTTAAGCTTTTACAATTTCACAAATAATTTTATTTAATTTGATTTAAAGATACGATTGGAAGAACTGCTACGTTTTTAATAGGAATAAAATTAACACTTTCGTATTTTTATAGCTATCGAATAGAACATATATTCGATGATAACGTATTACAAATGCCAAAAAACATTAGACAGCATATACTTCACGAAAAATTAATTTACGCTGTGTACATTCATCGCAGAGCTATTAAGTTAATATTATAATTTTAGTCAATATATTACTCCTTTGCACTCGAAGCCTGCTTTGCCCGGGAAATTAAAACTATGTTTATGATATATTATTAATATTACTTTTTGTCTACTGTAAAAAAACGCGTAACTTTTTTTATCACAAATCTTATAAATAAAATTAAATTTTAAATTTTAAAATATTAATTAAAATTAAAATTTTAAATTTTACTTTAAAAAGAAAAAACTAATACATTTTTCTCTTTCTTAGGTGACACGTCCAAAAACCCTCGCAGAAAGGCTCGAGCGCAAAGCTTTAGACATTATTACAATAAATAAATAATAAATTCACGTTTTGCTATTGAAGTTTGGCAAAGATTTTGACGAACAGTTTTGCGACTTTATATTTCATATTACTAGGATTTGGAGTGGCTTCGGTGAGCTTTAATGTAAGCATAAATGCAATGCAAAAAAGAACAAAATATCATTTCTCAACAGATTAATTGCATTGCGAATATATAAACAGAAGTACAAAAAAAAAATGTACAATTAACAAATAATGTTATTTTCAGTTTCTTTACGCGACAACAGTCTTAAATAATGTAATAGAATTACTGATAAGTGTTGGCATTATATTTGTACAATTATATTACTTATTTCTGGGAAATTATGTCGGACAAAATATTATAGATGCTAGTCTTGACATTCATCAGATAACGTAAGTTATAAATATATTCATGCTTTCTAGCATTCTATTCACATAATTCTAATAATGCTTTGTAATGTACATATGAATAATTAAAAATATACCCCCTGAATAACACAATTTTAAATACGCGTTGAGATTTCTCGAAAACCAAGGCTTTCATTGAAAAATGTTTGGTCCAAAGTTTTGTAGTGTCGAGGAGGACAAATGCCTTGACTTCCGCTACAAGATTATATAATGAAAAATGGGGATGGCCATTGAAGAAATTGATGGTGACTTTCACGTGACCTTCAAACGACTATTAAAAATCAAACTAATGGCGCCATTTTATGTCCCCCTCGAAACTACAAAACTTTTATACGAAACGTTTTTCAATGAAAACCTTGGTTTTCGAGAAACCTCAATGCGTCATTTAAAATAGATCACCCTGTATAAAATATTTTATTAAATGTTCACCGTAAATACAAAATTCGGTAAGAATCAAAAAATTTATTTAATTAATTATTGGAATAATATTATTAATTGCATCTATAAATTCATAAATATTAACAGATATAATACGCAATGGCACGTAGCGCCATTGTGGATGCAAAAATTGATGCTGTTCATAATGCAAAGAAGTAACAAAAAGAGTGCTTTAACAGCTGGCGGTTTATTTGATGCATCATTAGAAGGTTTTGCTACAGTAAGAAGTGCATTATGAGAAAACTTAATTTTGACCAATATCTTAAGAAAGAAAAACATTAAGAATGTTTATTACAGCTCATGAGTATGGCCATGTCCTACTTTATGGTTCTTCACTCCGTGCAAATACAAGAATGAAAAGAATGATAGCCACGTTTCAAAAATTCAATTCGCATTTAGAATGCATTCAGTATTGCATGTGTGCCGTTTTGCATATATTACTACAGTAAAAATTGTATTAATAAAATAAGTTTGATCAAAATAAATTTCTTTGCTTTTTGAAATTATTTTTACCGCGTACTATATACACCATAAATTAATTTTGAGATTTTTTTTATTTGCATCCCATTAATAATCATATAATTTAAATTAATAAATGATTATGCAATAATCAACAATAAATGAAAAATTTTTGTAACTACGAATGTTAATCACTAATTAAATTAACAATATTAATTAACAAACCTTTTTAATATTTGTCCTTGAATTAGATATTATTCGTTTTTTAGTATCTTCTTTAATAATAATATAAAAAAGTAATATATAGTCCCATAAAACAATGTGACTTTTACAGTTCAGCAGCTTGAGTGAGAATGAAAACACGCGCCTCAAAGTGACAATTGCGCTTGCGTGAATTTTGTCTTCTCCCTAAATTAATAATAAAACAGCAAACTTCTCTTTTCCGTCACGCATTTTGCGTCATTCCCCTTCTTCATCATATCCCTCTTTTTTACCACGAACTCTGAAATAAACTCATGAAATTTTTGCACGAGAAATATATGAAAGTGATGATAATCAATAACGAATGTTGGTGAGAAAAACGAAACCCTCAGGGAGGGTAATAAAAGCCCCTTCTGCATGACTCATGACAAATGTAGCGGAACATTTAAGGCCAAATGAACTTCGACGGTCAGCGTTACTATAAAGTCAATCGATTCGTTCTAGAGATGTTAGGACTGTGGCCCTACAACAATTCCATATATATAAACATTTACAGGGCATTTTCGATCTCGGTCATCGCGTCTTCTTGCGTTACTCAGGTAACGTTTACATTTTTTAATACAATGATTTAAATATAAGATTAATATTAATATTGCATAAAAATATTTATTATTTGTCAAAGTAATTCAAACCTTTTTTCAAAAATTTTTTTGAAAAATATTATATAAAATTTAAAGTTTCTAGATATAAATGGCAAACTTTGTTATTTATTTAAAGTTATATTTACTTTAGTTCTCATATTGATTTTTTAAATGTTTATAATGTACCATTTTTTTCATTTTTTCTATAAACATTAGTTCTCTAAACTTTAGTTATTTTTTTTTTATTTTGACATTTTTTCGGTTGAATCAATAAGTCAATGTGATGTGTAATTAAAATTTTATTATGCAGCTCGCCAAATTACAGAACACAGTTCATGATCTCGATCGCCTTCTGTATAATCTGACATATGCTGTTCCTTCTCACATCTATCTCTTAAAATTTATCAGTTACATTATTAATATTGACAAAGTAAGAGTGTATCCAGAAATTCATTTAGATTACAATATATTTATAACTTTAATTAAAATATAATATTAATTGCGTTGACGTATAATTATCAACGATATCGTTAGGTGAGAGATATGTTGGAAAGAATACAGCATGACTGGAATACGTTGGAGGACGAGAAAGAATGTGAGATTATACGATACTACACCATTATCGGAATGCGATACACGATAGTATTTTTTGGTAGGATATCACAGATATTGTAATTTAAATTACAATCGCGTAAATTTGAATCGCGTGTATGTATATTCGGTATTTAGATCATGCATATATGATGATGTAACGTATTGTTTTAGCTGCAAGCTCCCCTCTTTTGCTTTGCTTTGTTTTCGGCTTCTACTTGCCGGGCTTTCTCGATTTTGTTCATCCTTTAAATGAGTCCCGTTCAAGAAGACTGCCCATCTTAGCGGAATATTATATTCTCGACGAGCAGAAACATTTTTATCCTATTCTGATACATCAATCGTTGCTAGCCCTATTAGGCGTAACTATGGTACTTGCCACCGAATCACTAAACATGGTATATGTTCATCATGCTTGTGGATTATTTGAAGTAGCTAGGTGAGAAATTTTTAAATAATTTCCAAAATTGGCAGCGTGTGCATACATTTTCATTTACTTTATTTTATCCAAACATTGGAACATTTAAATCTAAATAAATCAATTTTATAAATCATATTTCATGATTTTATCACCAAATATTGACATTAATTTTTTGCTTTAACAGTTAATTATTGTTACAAATCATATTCCGTGTTATAAATGATTTCAAAAAATGATAATACAGGGTGACCATTGGAACGGTGTCTAAAGTAAATTGTTATTACTTGGCAACGAATGGACAAAATGAAATGAATTAAACGTTATTTCATAAAGAAAACCCGTCAATTTTATTCATTTGTAACCCGTCAACTTTATATAATATGAAAAGAATGTACAATAATTAAGTAATTAAAGTAAACAATATAAAAAATACTACAAATTTGTTTGAGCGCTCAGTGATAAATATTTTAAAAATGTTATCCATTGAAAAACAATGATAAGCTGAAACAGAGTATTCGAAAATGCATTTAGGGTATTTTCTCAGTTATATTAAAAAGTATATTTAACAATTTTGAAAAACTTTTGAGTTTTTGCCGATTCCAATAGACAACACTTAAAAAATATTTATCATTGAACACTTAGACAGATTTATAGTATTTTTTTTCCAATGTTTATTTTAAATATTTAATTATTATATACGTTTTTCATGCTATATGTAATAAAATTGACAAGTTTACTCTACAAAATGATGTTTAGTTATATTATTCTGCCTAATTATTGCAAAGTTATAGCAATTTACTTTGGACACCTTTCCAATGATCACTTTGTATATACTTTTACATATAAATATACATTTATGTAAAATGAATTAATATCTTATCTCTTTTATATAAAAATAATGCAATTTTATATTTATAGTTATCGTTTGAAACATGCTTTTGATGATGTAAAGTCCTCCATGTCTGACAGTGAAAAATATGCTATAGTTCATGCGAGGATTGTAGAGGCCATAAATATCCACAGAAGAAGTGTCGAGTGAGTGTACAAATCATAACGGTGGCGTGAAACACTTTAATTTAGTTTACTGAGAGATTAGTAAAAGTTTTTTCTACAAATCTTTATTATAAAAAAATTTAATGCGCTTTTTTACTGTTTGTAATTAATTTATACGGTTTTTCGTTCTTGTAGATTTTTAGATTATTTAGTATCCACGTTTATCTCAACGTACTTAATTGTTCTCGTGCTTGGTGTGATTGCGATAACCATTAACATGTTTCGCGTAAGTTACTTTTTCTAATAAACAATCTTTTCTCTACGATTACTTTTTGCATCAAAATGCTTTTTCGATTTGCTTGGCGTTTTGTTATTTTTTAGCTAATTGAGGCTATCTTAGTGTTGGACGATTTTGAGGAATTATTAGCAGCTGGATCTTTTATTGGAGGCCAATACGGTTTCTTGTTTTTCGCCAACTATTTCGGGCAAAAAGTAACAGATCGTAGTATTCTTGTGTTCGATAAGGCGTAAGTTTTTATTCTCATTCATAACTTGCACTATATGCACAACGTGCACATAATATCATATTTTTAAGAGGAAATTTTACCAGGATAAAAATTGGACGGAATTTTTATAATATATACAATTGTGTAGATACGGTGTGCCCTGGTATACAGCGCCCATACAAATTCAAAAACTTCTCACGTTTATTTTGCAAAGAACAGCGAAGGGTTACGTGTTGGGTATCGGTGGCGTAATTATAGCGTCGTTGGAGGGTTTCGCATCGGTAATGATAATATATTTGTGCCATCACAAATTTTACAAACCTAAATCATATATTTTTATTAAACAATTAATTAAAAAGATAATAATTATAATAGTATTAATGAGAGTTGTGTAATTATACAACGATGCACGATTTCTTTCAGATGGCAAGTATGACACTGTCTTATCTCACTGTAATTTATTCCGTACGTTGAGATAAAAATCGATGGCGAGTCTGACTTTGTAGTGATATGAAAAATTGTATTAGTAACATTTATGACATATATTCACTTGTAGAATAAAATACGTTCATCATGAATATTAATGAGTACCATGTCAGAATAGCTGAGTCGGAGTTATTCTACGTATATTTCATTATATACTT